TTAATTTTTAGAGAAAACTGGAATTTAACTTTGCACATATATTAGTTTGCTTAAGCAAGAACAAGTGGAAATGTGCGATCCTATATACACTGACCCCATATTGCTGTCCTCCACTGTCTGTTTACCCTACTTTGTGGAGTTAGTGTTTTCTCTGCCCCCAGGTAAAACCTTGTACAGTTTCCATCATTTTTATGGTCACCCTCAGATAATAAAAAGTCTATTGGTCACATTTCAATAATGAAAATAGCCCATCAAAATTGTGGATTTCATTTAAAGTTAACTTTCTTCCCCTCCTCCATTTAGAGTCTGCTCCGGGCCAGGGAAGTCTGCAGAGGGAAACATGTGGGACGGGGAGGCTCAGCTGGTCTTTTGTTTCTTCACTTGCTCTGCTTCTCCCCTCACTCAGACAACTGGACGACTAAAAAGCTCTCATGTGATTACTAATATTAATTACTTAACTGAGACTGCTTTTGTAAGAAGACTGTTTTGTTATCTGACAGTGATAAGAAAAAAATATGGCACTTGTCTAAGATTTATTTCTTTTAGGGATAGGAAATAAACCATCCCCAAAACAGGCAGTGGGGAAAAACAATGACATCGTTTTTCTGATTGTACCTCATGAGTCCCAGTTGTTCAAAATCCTTTGGGGGAGGGGCCTCTCTGTTTCTCTGGGATCCTTTAAATAATCTGCATACGGCACTGCCGAGTTCACCTGGTCATGGAAACAGCCAGCATTTCTAAGGGCAAAACTACTGCTGAGAAATAAGACCAGCCTTTTGGATGATTTTTTAAAGATAAGGTCTCAGTATTTACTTGGCAATAATGACATTTTTGGCAATGGTGCAAAAAGGTACAGTCAGTAGGGGAGTGCTGTTTAATAGGGTAAAAGAAGACTCTTCCTCGGTTATGACTGAAGGTCTAAGAGAATGAATACCAACTTTGTTACAAAGTGAGGTGCCGAAACACTCATGCAGAACTTGCAAAGCATTTAGGCAGTAACTGAGTTTTAGCTACTTGGTCTCTTATCCGCCTTGAAGATGAAAGAAAGAAAGAAAGAAAGAGAGAGAGAGAGAGGGAGGGAGGGAGGAAGGAAGGTTGAAGAGACCTGGCTGAGAGAATTTGGAATTTGGAGTTATTGGGAGATAGTGTGCATGCTGAATCCTACCCCTGTTGTCCCCAAGGGGTAAGGGTGGCAAGTATGTCCTATTCATTCAGGCCTTTGAGCAAGGCCTCAAGGATACTAGACAGGGGACCCGATTGGTGTTTCCCTGAAGTTGGGAAACTTGGTGGACTGAAGTCTGACTCATTCCTGAAGCAAGCTGTGGCGTCAGAGGGGAAGGTTGGTTTGGGAAACACCCACAGTTGTGTCAATATGCGTCAAAGGTGTATGGCTCTCGGGGTGCCCAAAAGAAACCAGGGCAGAAGTGTCAAATGAGGACCATCTAGAACAACCTTTGCTAAGAGAGATGTTGCCAGAGGGACAAGTCATTCTCAGTAGAAAGAGGCTGCCTACCCTCCAATTTGAAATTCTAGTGGAAGTCCTAAATGACCTGCTTGTTGACTGCACCAGTCACCCCAGTTATCTGTCTACTGAGTGTCATTAGATGCAGCACATATGGGAAGAACTCACCTTGGAAGATTAGAAATGAGGACTAAAAAAAAAATCAAAACTCAGGAAAATAAAGAATAAGAACACTATTATGAAGTGAACTTCCTGTATACACATTAGATATTTGTTATATTACCATTTGACTGAAGTAAGATTTCATTATGCAAATTACATGGAAATTTTAGTAATTATCCTGTGAGTCTGTGCTGTGTTAATTTAGCTATTCACATACCAAATTGCCAATCTTTGGGGAGATATATATCCCCCCAAAGACTTTTAAACATATGGAAGTGCTTTATAAATTCTCCACTCTTATGTCAGGTTGTGAACATTTCTAGACCAAAAGTGATTTTTCACATTAAGCTGGAGTAGGATTAGGTTTGCCTACATGCAGCAGAAACCACAAATCAACAGTGGCTGTTCACATAAGGTTTTATTCTTTCATGTAGAAAGTTGGAGGATAGCAAGCCAGGACTGGTGTGGAATCTCCACAGATTATCAGAGACTTACTTCTTCCAGCTTTCTGCTCTGCCATCCTTTGGGCAGGGCCCAAGACAGCTGCTAGAAAATGTCATTGTGTCTGCATTTCATGCCGCAGAAAGTAAAACCAGAAGAGGTTGTATAAATTATCTTCACTCATGCCCACTGTCCAGAACCAGTTCAGCTACTGGTCATATCTAAGTATAAGGAAGACTGGAAAAATGCAGTCAGAAACACCATGGTCCTAGCTAAAATTTGGGAGTTCTATTACTGATGAAGATGGGAAGTCTAATGTTGGGGGATAACGTTTGCCCATGACACAGTGGAGTCAGATGGTTTCTCCTTGATTCTTGGTTCCACTGCTTATTAGGTTGTAACTTTGGTCAAGAGTCTAAAACGATCCGTGTCTTTATTTCCTCAGGTGTAATGGGAGAATAGTAGAGTTTTCGTGAGCATTTAATGTGAACACATTTTAAGTAGTGCCTGGCCATGTGCTATTGTTATTACCATTATTCCCGTGGTTTACTATAACTCACTAAGTATAGTCAGTGTAATCTCTGGAGTTTACTACTGCAGCCCTAGAACTTAGTAGGAGTCTGGCAGTTCATGGATGGGTGAATGAATGAATGCATCAGACTGCATGAGTTTTGAATTGTGAAACTTTACTTTCTCAGTGGTTTACATGGGCATTACTTAATCCCTTTAACCTCAGCTTTCCCTTAAAATGAAGATAAACTATTCGAAGTTTTCTTCCTTTCTCCCTCCAGATCCATTCCCCACCCTTCTCAACTGCCCTGTGCCAAGGAGGCTGACCTTTATGGATTACGTCAGTGAGCGCCCTTGCCCTCTGGCTTCCAGTTGGGATTCACCTATAGAAGGCACTGAGAGGTGATCAGAGGTGGAAGGAGAGTTAGCTTGGACATTTATTCCTATGGTTTCCTCCCTGCAGAGCCTTGGTTTGGCAGCGGCTGTGTGCTATATAGACTGAATGTTTGGGTCCCCCCAAATTAAATATTGAAATCCTAATTTCCAGTGTGATGGTATTAGGAGGTGAGTCATTGGGTGCCCTCATAAATTGGATTAGTGTCCTCATAGAATAAACCTCAGAAAGCGCCCCTCCCCCTTCTGCTGTGTGAGGACATGGTGAAAAGATGGCCTTCAGTAGACACCGAATCTGTCAGCCCCTTGATCTTGGACTTCTCAGCTTCTGTAACTGTGAGAAGTAAATTTCTGTTCTTTGTAAGCCACTCAGTGTACAGTATTTGTAACAACAGCCCCTATAGACCCCAAGTGACTGTTCTGAAAGCCAAAACCATCAAGTGGCCCTTCACAGCTATAGGTCTTTCAGGGTTCCAGGAACTGCCCCGACCCTATGGCTCCCCACTATTGTGATCCTCGTGGCGTCTCAACTTTGTTGGTTTTCTGAAGGCTGGCCACACTTTTATAAATAGATTCTTTATTAAGTTTTCCTCACTTCCCCATTCGATTGTTCTTTTCCTTCTGCGACCGTGATTGATATACAATACTCATAGAACTGCTTTGAGTATTTAGAAAAATAATGCATTCAAAGTGCTTAAAGTGGTGTGTGACACAGAATAAGCACTCAATAAACTTGAATTCCACTAATGCTACTATCATCTAATTTTTTTTTACTTCTCATTACTTCATGTTTGGCAATATCTTTATTTCATAAAATTTTTAAAGGTGTTGATTGATTTGCTGAAGTATTTCACTGCTAAAAATGATCAAAGCGTAACTAGGGTCAATTATTGAGTCAAACTTAAACCTTAAAATAAAATGGTGGCTAGTGATTTTTTCCCCAAAGCTATGTCTCCTTTTTTGTTAAAGTATAAAATATGAAGTCCAATACCGTGTCCTCTACCATTGACTTGTGAACTTGAGGATCTAATAAGAGGGGTGGTTGAGAAATCGGAGCTGGAAAACTGGAGCCTGGTGATTTGGGAGGTTGAGGCTCTAGGGAACAATGGTGAGAGAAACCAAGGGTTTACAGAGCCATGGCGTAGACCCAGAAAGCAGGACCGGAGACTGTAGCTAAAATTGGTTTGAGTTGGGGAGATTCCTAATTATTTCAGAACCTTATTATACTGACCCAAAGTAGACCAGAGGCATATGACTATAGCTACGATAGCAGTCAAAGTCTCCAAATTTCTAAACAGTGATTTCTAATGGGATTAAAGTGATCTGAGTCTTTGTTGGATGTGTTGGAGAACCTAGTCTTTAGGTTTAGGGAAACTAATGGGTTCTCGCCATGGTGGTGGGTTCTGATTCTTTCCTGTGAACCTCCACACTTGTGATATCCTGGAGTTTTATATGAAAAGATTCAATCTTCACCATCTATTTTTCTTCCCACAATTCCCTAGGTGTCACCCATGATGCATTTGTAATTGTTTTGCATATGTCTTTAAATCTGCAGATATTTCTCATAGTAATAATTGCTTGATAATTCAATGAGTTATCATCTATGATAGAAAGTGGATAATAATGCTGCTGCTGGTGATGATGGTGATGATGATGATGGTTGTACCTGAAATTCTATTCAATTTACAAAGTGATTGCTACAGACACTACTTTACTTAGGGAAATTAAAATATATAAACCTTAGGAAGAAAATAGAAAGCAGATATAATTAATATTTTATTGAATGTATCACTTTTTATTTAATAGAAACAACTAATTTGATTTTTATTTTCCAACAAAATATAGTAAGAAATTGCCATTTTTACATATTTGTGATAAAATATTTAACTGCTATGATATATCACTTATTTTTAATGTGAGTGGAGTCAACAATTAAAATCAGAATGTACTTCAGTAAAAATATGTCTTAGTAACTGACTATCTTTCTACAATTAGTTTATTTTTCTTATGTATGGCTTCTATTTTTTTCCAGATTTGGATCTCAGAAACACATGAACAAATGGCACAAGTTTTTTTAAACACAAAATTGACTCAAATACAAAGCAAGGATTTGCTGAATGAGGAAACAATGAACGCTGGGATTGTTGAAAGGTACTCTTAATATTTCCCTTTGCTTACAGAGTAGATACATGCAGGAAAGGAGTTATTTAAGTACCAAAAAGGTATGGTGGTGCCAGCTACACATTACAGGAACACACCTCGAGCTTCCATGCTTTCTGCTGATGCCATTCCTTCTGTCTGGAATTCCCTTCCCTCGGTGTGCCAATCAGCACTATTCATTCTGGGTCCAGCTGAAATGTTATCTCCTCTTTCTGTGTTTTTTCTGGTCAGGGTTCTGACTATCTAGGTTTGAACCCCTGCTCCACAGTTTATTTGTGAAAGTTATTCGGTGTCTGTAGTCCTCGGTTTGTTCACTATAAAATGGGAATTATAAAAGTATCTACTCCATAGAGTTTTTCTGAAGTTTTGTCGCAGACCCCTGCTCCTGGGGTTCATGGCATTGTAGCTGAAACAAAAGCAATTCACACAGAAAACCGAATCCTGTGGAGGAAAAAAGGGTGAGCGGCTTCTCTCTCAAGGGGAGCAAAAGCCTTGGCCCTTGCCATGACCGGCCTTTATTGGGTTTCTTGGCACATTACATGATGGTCTTCATTTACTATGCCCAGGTTGCTTTAGGTGGTTACCTTTTACAGAAAACGAAGGAGATGATGATACTAATCACATCACAGAAGAAGGATATTTGCAAATGAAAAGGGTAAAAGTGGTTGGACCGATTACACTGGTCCTAGGGTGTTTTAGCATGAATTTTACGAAGTTATTTTGCAGTAAATGTTTGCCACAAATCTGGGCGAGGGAGTTTTTAGCAAAAAGCAAGACTGAAAGGACTGAAAGCGACCTAGGCATATTGCAGGTCTGATCCCCAGGGAAGAACCTGTCTGTGGGCGTGGGTCCTGTGTAGTAGGACCTGGGCCCATGCCACACAGAATAGTCTTCTACAAAGTTTAGATAAAATAAAGTATGAAATGCATGTAGAAATATTGCCTGAGGTGCATTAAGAATTAGGTAAGCTGTTACTAAACAGAATTTATTGGTTTTTATTTTTTTTTGCCCTCTGAGTATTTTATTTGTGTTCTATAAAACGTTTACATGTACATTCTTGTTATTTATATGCATGTATGTTTCCCTGAGATAGTTTCTGGAGGGTAGGAACTCTTTCTTAGTCATACCTGTAGCCCTGCAACCTCCACAGTATCTTTCCATGAAAGTGTGTGATATAGACTTTGTCTTATATTGTAATTATTGGAGAATGAATTCAAAGTAATAAAAAATGCTGACAATTTCATTTATAATTGGCACATTTTACTTTGCAAAGTGCCTAAAAGTTGCAAATATGAAAATTCTTTCAAAATAATCATCATAAACATAGAGGTTTATCAGTGGGAAGGGGTGGGAGAGAAAAAGGGGAAAGGTACAGGGAATAAGAACTGTAATTGGTATGTACGAAATAGACAAGGGAGGTTAACAACAGTATGGAAAATGGAGAAGTCAAAGAACTTATATGTATGACCCGTGGACGTGAACTAAGGCGGGGGGATGATGGTGGTGGGAGGGTGGTACAGGGCAGAGGGGAATAAAGGGGAGGAAAAAAATGGGACAATTGTAATAGGACAATCAATAAAATATATTAAAAAATAATTATCACAAAAATTTAGCTCCAAGTTAGGTTTCTATGGCTTCGATAATTTATAAATGTCAGTTTGACATGTTTTCAAAAGAAAATTGGTTTCTTGTTTCCAGGGACACTGGAGTGCCTGTGACAGGCTTTGGAGCTCTCTTTACTACACACCCACCAGATTGGCGCAAAATGTAAGTCGTCCTTAAACTGCTGCAGATTGTGCACAGTGTTTCTTAATGATCCAGGGGTTTTGTTTGCAGGAGTAAGGGTTTAGGGGGCATAGCAAAGTCAACAGAATACCCTTTATGTGGTAGCTTACAGGCTTCTTTTCTTTAACCAGGGTTTTTTCCATCGATATGTATAATGTTAATAAATAATAGTCAATCCATATTATGTATGGAATCGACATTTTCAAGTTCTCTTACTCACAAAAAGCTATTTGTAACCCCCAAATCAATACCTGCCGTGCTGTTGCAGCCCTTCACAAACATGCATAGCGAGGTGAGGATGCGTGCACCCAATGCACACGTTCCCAAGCTCAAGTTGAATAAGGCAAGGCTCTGCCTTGTCATTTCAGCAAGTGTCCCTTTCAAGTTCTGTTTAGTGACTTCTTTAAAAAAATAAACTGATGAATATGCTGTTTGAAATATACCCCCAAGTACAGTGCTAAAGTGCTATTTAATATTTCTAAGCACAACAGGTTGTAATGTGGAGAAAATGCATGTGTTATATTAAGCTTCCTTTAGGCATGAGTTATAATGTTGTTGACTGTGAGTTCAATGTTAATGAATCAACGATATATATTAAATAAGATGTCTTTAAAGAGAAACACGTAAGACCAGTTATGTATTGATTGGTTGATAAAAATATAACCAGAAGCTCTCAAGAATCTAATCCCATATTTCTCCAAGGGGCATGGGTCAGCATTTGCTAACTCGGTATTCGTGGTAATGTTACAGAACATTGCTGTGAATAATGAGAATTGACTATAGAGCAAGAGACCACTAACTTTGCCAATAAAATAAATTAATTTATTTTAGGGGTAGCATGACTTGTCACTACAGAAATTTCTTTTCCACTTATCTTTCTAAAAGAATGCACACTTTCATAATTTCTGTAATGATGCAGAGACAAATGATATGGAAATGAAGGTGCTTACAAGCATGACCAAAGTCTGAGTGTTAAATTGTGCATTATGAAGAGAGGAGTGTGTGTCATCACCAGCAATTGAAATGTTTTGGCTTCCTTTGAGAACTGCCTGACATCAGAACTAAGCTATTTTGCAGTCTGCCTGAGAAAGGGAGGTTTGTGGAGTCCCACCCCATTTCCCAGTAACTTGTAATTCCGGCCAGGTATTTCATTACCCCTGTGGGTCCAAACCCTGATGGCTGCAGAAAAGACAGCCTGGCCTGCACCCCCCACAGCCTGCTGTATCACCTCTAAGTGGGCTGGAAGGTCCACAAGGCGCAGCCCCGGGATGATCCTTGAGGAGAGTGGGCTCCTCGCTTCCATCAAGGTGATGAGCTAAAACCTTCCTGCTGGCTGACTTCTTACAGTGAAATCTGGAATTTCCAGCAAAGACATGGGAAGGCATAATGAATCCTGGGGTAGACTTTGATAACTGTATTTAAACTCCGAGAAGCTGTCAAGAAAATAAAGGAGTAGAGCAGGAGAAGGCTGGGGCTAGGAGGAGCAGAGAAGGTAAGAGATGAAGTCTCTAGATGGAGTATTGGGCCAGTCCGGGGTGGGGGCTGTCATCTCAGTGGGCCAGGCTTAGGTAGGAGCCCAAAGAGTCTTCAGTTTGCAAACTTGGATCATATGCTTAAAGCAGGATTTTTGTATTGACTTTGACTGCTGTGTTTATCCCAGGGCAGAAAATGAGACAGCCAGGGAAATGAGGCATAATAGAGATTTTGATGCCAACAGTCTACTTCTCTAAACCTCTGATCTCAGTTTTGAGATCTGTAATGCCAGCCACAGATAGCCAGTAGGACCCTGAGTTCTCTCCCTCGACGCCAATTAGAGAAAGTAGTCTCAGATATAAGAAGAACTGGGCTGTGCATCTTAATGAGAAGGAAATGCCAGGGTCAGTAAGTGTAGTTAAGCCCAGCAAACTGCAGTTGAGGCACTGAACTCATATTCCCCACACTCACAGTGAAGACACTAGCTTAGCCTCCCTTTTCAATGGACTATCTATGTAGTCATCAAAAGTGGACGTAACCATCTTAGGAATAATACAATGAAGTCTCAATTTTAAAATATCATAACACATCTAAAGAGCAAAAACATCATGAGGAAGGAAATATAGGCAGCTTATACTCGAGGAAGCAGACCAGGTAGAGCAAATGGAATAGGAATTTAAAACTGAAGAAACTAAAAGTTAAAGCTTTATTTTTAGAGAAATAAAACAAACAGCAGAAATCATAGGCAAAATAATAAAAATCAAATTAATTTTCCACAGCAACATTGAAGATAAGAACATAACATTAATGTATTGAAGGAAAAGAATTTCGAGCCCAGAATTATTTAAATGTGAGGGCCAAATAAAGATATCTGCAGGTATAAAAGGGCTGGTTTCTGACTTCCTATCCTGCCATAAGTAGCTGCAGAACTGGGCAAAACGCATTAGGCAATGGTTGTCAAGTGCTGAATGGCAACCAGTGAGCTTGTGTGCTCCTTGAGATGAGAGGTGGGCATCACATTCCCCCTGACTCACCGAGAAGAATTATTCCAGCCGTACAGGTAGGTGAGCCCAAGTGTAGGACAAAGTGTTCTTGCTGAGCTTGGAGGTGGGAATAGAAATTTAGAGCTTCTGATAGGACTGTAATTTGTAGGACAGGGTATTGGAGAGAAGAAAGTCTGCACGGGGTTCCCCTCAGGTGATTGATCAGGGGCTTGGCTCTGCATGCACTATCAAAATAGTACATACCCCTGGCTTTTAAAAAACCCAGCTAGGGCTGTCTATGGTAGAGTCTGAAATGTCACAGCGGTGCTTTTTTCTGTGCATTGTGTCGTAGGCTCTGGGCATGCATTACCTGCCTTCAAATCCTGGGCCTTCCGTTTGAAGATCTTGGGTGCATTTTGTACCTCAATTCCTTTGTCTATAAAATGGGGATGATAATTCTAAAGACACTCATTTTCTAGTATTTTCATGATGATTTAGCAAGTCAATGTTATGTAAAACAGTTAGAAGAGTGACTGATGCATGTAAGGTAAGAGCTATGTCAGTCAGCTGGGGCGGGTACTGAGTGAACCCTTTCAGTCCAGAAACTCACTTCTATCAGTTCAGGGCAGTGTTCTTGATTTATTTCATCAATAATTTATACCTTCCATTTTCTCTTTTTGCAAATTCTTTATTCGTATGTTGGATTGTTTGCCCTGCTCCTCTAATTGTCTTGTCTTTTCTTATTTTATTTTTGTCTTTATCATCTATTAATACTTTGTTCTCTGTCTCTTCAATCCTACTATTGAGTTCAGTTTTTGTTTTCTGAATCCTTCTGTTTTTGTAGGATCCATTGTTTGGTTTCATGTGGAGATATTAATGATAGTTTGTTTTTCATTATTTTTTCTTCCTTGCATATAGTCTCTTCTTTCTCCAGGAATGCTGTTTGGGTTCTGTCTGTATTATCTGTCTTTCACGCCAGGAGCTATCTTTCAGTGTTCAGCAGTCAATCCTTGGTTTTCTCTTCATGATTAAGAGATGAGGCTTGGAGCCTGTGAGTGAGGCTTGTTGACTTGGAGGTTCACTGGAAGGATCTGGATGGGTGTTTTCCTCTTCTTCTCCTTCACCCTTACCCCTGCTCCTCCTCCCCATGCTCTTCTCCTCCTCCTTCTTCCTTCCCTTTCTGCTCCCTCCTCCTCCTCCTCCTCCTTTTTCTTCCTTTTCTGAACCCCTGGTGGCAGTATTTTAGTCTTTTCTGTGGGTTGGTCAGATTCCCTGGATCAAGCTCTCACCCGTCCGAAGGGTAAAGGGCTGGTGCCTGTGTTCTCGGAGTGAGCTGGGCAGTTGGCTGGGACATCCACATTAATCCTTCATTGTGTACGGTCACTGAACCATGTTGTTGATCAAGGACTTTCTCTTTTACCCTTTCCAGTGAATAAATTTCTAGCTTCCTCCTGGCAGTAACCCAGCAGTAGGGAGTGCAGTTGGGGCCTGGAGTTCTAACTGCTTCTCAGATAGCCCTCCCTCGGGCCTCCTTCGCTGATTTAGGACTCAGCTTTCTGCTAAGTCAGAGACCAGTTTTCCATCTTCTCTTGAGTTTCCAAAATTTGTTTCTCTTACCCGTTTTCCTGTTCTTGTGGATTTATTATTTTTAAGGTCTCTTTAATGTGGTTTTAGTGGAACTTTTTGAGAAAGTAAGATGCAAGGTGTACATTCATTCTTGACTCTAAAATCATCAAGTCTCATCTGAAATATTACCTCCTCCGGGGGAGCTTCCCTTCCTACTGCTACCCTCCATTGCCATGGTAGGTCCCTTGTGGGTATTTGTAGCACCGTGTGTTTCTTTTACCCTAATTTTATCCATTTCAAATGCAATTAATTGCATTTTTGTTTGTCCTTCTTGCTCTGAAGTCAACGCTCTGAAGGGCAACCTGTGTCGGCTCCATGCCCGGTGCCGAACAGAGAGCCTGACCCGCAGCACATGCGCAGTAGTTATTTTTTGAGTGGACACATTATTTCTGATGATGAACAGCAAATTACAATGGGAAAGGGACGTGGTTAATTCCTATTTTATTTGATTTAGGGCATCAAGGCCTGTAGAATCAAGAGCTGTTCTCAATGCTGTGCTAGTAAGTGTATTAGAAGACATGGTCTCTTAGAAAATTATCTTATTGGTTTGATTTGCTAGAATTACTTTTTTGTTTTATTTGATTAATGAGTATTGACAAGGAAATAAATACATGAGCACCTTCAACCGTTCTCTGCTAATTTCATATGCAGTTCTTTCTTTAAGTTAATGTACACTAATTATAGGACATTCCATACAATAGAATGGTGTGGTATTTTAGAATCTGCTCTCTTGAATATTAAATATTCTTTTGCTTCTTGCCAACTGTACAGCTGTGGAAGTTAAATGTCAACTTTAAAAGGCAATGAATAAGAATGAGTTTGCTCAGTGGACCAAAATAATGTGCTTCATCTTATAAAAGAAAAGCTGTAATCATAATGTAAATTTAAACTTCAGGATAC